AATGCTGGGCTCCTGCCTAATGCTTATCACTTTCCCCTTGTCAATTTGTGTGCTGTGGGTATAGAGTTGTCATTGCTAGCAAAATTTCCACATTACAAACTCCACATGGCTGTGCATATTTTGCTGGATTGTTTCAGGTCTGCTTTGGCTAGATCCTATGGGGAGTCCCCTGGAGACTTGCCGTGAGACTGGGCAGACCCATCCAGGAAACCAGCGCTGCCATTTTTAGCACCAGCCACACCATGAAATATCCATCTAGGAATCTCTTCCTAGAGATTCCAAAAAGGACTGATTATTTGCTAGAAAACAAGTAATGTTCTAATTGGCAGACCAACCTCTCTCTCTTGAGCTTTGTGTAATGTTATTGTCAATGGCTTAGCCCAGTGATGGCGAACCTTTTAGAGACCGAGTGCCCAAACTGCAACCTAAAACCCACTTATGTATTGTTGAGTGCCAGGTGGTGTGGCCCATTGGCTGGGTGTGGCCAATTGGGTGGGCATGGCTGCAGTGGTAACGGCAGAAGTGGGTGGGACTAAAAAGTTCAATCAATCAATTCCAACTTTGCGAGTTCTTTTTTTCCCCGCGAGAAACTGAAATTGATTGATTGAACCTCTTTTTTTTTTTTGCACATGGCGGTGGAGGCCTAAAGCAAAAAGGTTTTATAAAACCCAGCTGAAGGCCTAGGACTGGGGCGACAGCGCGCATGCCCACAGAGAGGGCTCCGAGTGCCGCCTCTGGCACCTGTGCCATAGCTTCACTACCACTGGCTTAGCCTTAGATTTTAAAGCAGCCATTCTGATGTACAAATCAGAACTCACCTGATGGGCCAGCTGTAGATTGCATATCACACACCCTTTGAACACAGCAGACTCTTTTCTCTTTAGCAGCAGATTGGAGGATATTGGTAGAAAACAAATTTGTAGCTGGCTTTTCTCCCCCTTTTCTTCTGATCTCATAAATATTGCACCAGAACTCCTGTTGGTAGAGAACTCTGTTTTTGAACCTCTTTGGAGTCCTAACACAGTGTTATTCTTGCCTTGTAAAAAATGACCATGTTTTTAGCCATGCTTTCATTTGCATAAACAAATGGTGGTATTTTTGGATGGGTGCAAGGAAGAAATTGACTTTCTTACACATTGACTGAAAATATCATCTATTCATATTCTTAAGAGTTTCTTTTCCATTTTTTTCATATCAGTCTTACTACATTCAAAGAAACTGCAAGGCTACTGGTTGCTTGGCCTGTCCATGTTTGATTTCCTTTAGCCATTCCTAAAAATACAACTTATGCTTGTAGTCTTGGGCCATAAGCATCATTGGCTGGGTTCACACAACGCAAAGATCCAGGAGCTTAACTTTTTTTTTTCTGGCTCAACAGATTTGCTTAGTTTTTGAATGGTCCACTGGGATGCAGCTTTCCTGGAGCTGGGCCAGACACTCAGTTTGACTTAATTTTATTTACATGAAATATTAATAAAAGTTAAACATACAGTTCTTCCAGTGATGTATTTGATGGCTTCTCACCCCTGCTTTAGATAACAGGGCATAAATAGCTCTGCTAGATTGACCAAAGCCTATCTCGGTCCAAGATTTTGTTTCTCGCAGTGCCCACTAGATACTGCTGGGGTACTCACAAGCAAGAAATGAGGGCATCCCCTGCACCTGATAGTTGGACCGTATTTCTCCCAGCTTGGAAGCATTCACGATTAATAGCCTTTAATGTGCCTGTCCTGATTGGGTCAAAAATCTATCCAAGATGATTATCGCTACGTTACATACTATTGAATTAAACAGGTTAAGAACAATGTATTTGGTTTGTAGAAGAAAGGAAGGGTCAAGGTAGATTTATCCGAGAATGAGTCCTGTTAAAGGACTGCCAAGGGAGGACTAACTAAGATGGACGCCGAGTTCTCAATAATAGCAAAATCAAACCTAGCTCAGTTTAGGTTATTTAATGATCTGATCTCTGCTAGCAGTCCATCAATGGTAGGAACAAACGTCAGTTGGCTTTACACATTGCATTAGGCGATCGAACAGGTTGGTTTGGTGATGGCTTCCTGACCTATATGAACCTAAACAATTGTGAGCTTCATTGCCATCCTTCAGAATTTTTTCCCCCCAATTTCCCACTCTAGTAGTATCCTTTCCACCAAGTCAGACCTTTTTCTTTTTTTTTGTAATTTATTGATTTTTTTAAACATAAATCATTAAATAATTAGTGAACAGTGTGTTTTCTGGGTTTACATTTGTAAAACAATCACTAACAATTTATTTCTATAATCCATAATCCACTTAATAGTTTTAACTGATTTCCTCTTTTCCCCAAAATATCCTCTTTTGCAAACATTGAGTTAATACAATTCTTATTGTTTTGATAGATAACAATTAAATATATAATTTCCCCCAATATTCCTAAAAATAATAATCACTTCAATATAATATTTCTTTTCTATCCAATCATTCTGGTTGCCTTATCATAGATCCTGTTATAGTTCTTATTTAAATTTGTTTCTCCCACAAGATTCTAAGTATTCTTACTGGTTAAGATTTTCTCAAAAATTAATTACATTTAAAAATTTAACTCTATTTTTTCTATCATTTCACACTTTTACGTTTCTTATGGAATAGAGAAAACAGTGAAAAGAAAGAAAAAAAGGAGAGCAAGAGTAAAGAAACATAAAAAAACAACATACTACTTAAAATATATATCCCTCCTAAGCTAATATATATTTGTTTCCAAGATTTCTTATGCTTTTTAACCATAATTAAAAATATGTTTAATCTTTAAATATTCCATTTTACATCTAGTCATTTAGTCCTTTAATTCTTATTCAAAACATTTTTATCCATTATAATTTTCTGAAATTCAATCAGATTTAAATATCTAAAACATTTCCTTTATCTAAGCCATTTCAACTTTTTTATATTACTCATATAAAGAAATAGAATAAAAAAGGGGGGAAAGCATACCATATTATTTAGGGGATTCATCCCTCTTAGAGTGACATATATATTCCAAATCTTTTCTATTTCTTTAACCATATTCAAACAAATGTTTCTTTTTAAAGTATTCTCTCTGGTAGATCCCATCATCTATTTTTTTGATTTCCACATTGGTCTGTTTCCTTTGCCCGGTATCTTTCTTAATCAATGTATTTTGCTGAGTCAGAAGGTTTTTCCATATGTTCATAAATGTTAATGTAGATATAAAAAGTAAATCAGATGAAGTGTCTTTGTACGGGGCTTCTGCCTTTCCATGTTTGTTGAAAATCTTTTTCTTTTTCTTTCTCTCTGCTTCTCTTATCACTTCCTTTCTCTCCGATGTTCCTGACATTTCTACAGCCCATTTTATCCAATCTGTTTTCTTGTCCTCAGATTTATTTTGCAGTCTTAAGGGATAAGTTGTTTTCCATTTCTTGTGATTTTTTCCCCCACCAGGATTAAATCATGTTTCCTTGTTTTGTTAAGTACCATCTTTAAATCTCTATTCTCAATTTTGTATCCATTTATCTGTTTTATCTGCTCCTTCTCTGTTGTTGTTTCTGGGAATTATTTTTGTTGTAGAGTTAACTTGGAAATAGATTGATTTATATTTTCAAAGTTATTTTGGATTTCTTTGTGGTTTAAAATCATTGTTGTTTGAATTATTTGCAGTATAATATATATCTCCTCCTGTGGAGTATTTATGTTTTCTTGATATATTCTTTCTACATGTCTCTGATCCATGATGGCCAAGAATTTGAGTTTTTCTCTTCTTTTCTTTTTTCTGCAAATAGCTTTAGAGTCCCGATTAAATAGATATTTGTAATTCAAATAATTCAAAAAAGATTTTTTTCCTGAAATTTATAATTCTCTTTCTCTACAGCCCAGATTATTGTCTCTTTTTTTGTCACAGCTTTGAAGGTCACAAACATAGATTAGCTTTTCCCAGGCTTTGCCAAGTCTTATATTAAAGTCATAGCTGCCATAGTCTTCATCCACCACTAGGTGTCAGCATCTATTTGTTTTTCAATTTTCAAATTGAACAATAATCTACAGAATGAGTCTTAAACATTCAACAATTTTAGATTTATTCAGATTTTAGTTTTAAATTCAGGTTTTATATTTGTTTCACTTCCATATATTTTGATCCTCCATAAAAAGATTAATTTGCCACTTCCGTTAGTATAAGGGTGGGGCGGAAGTCCCCCCTCCTTCCCTTTTGGAGGTATTTTGCTTCTTGGGGATCTTTTCCAGGAAATTAAATATAGAATAGAAAAGAAAAGATCAAATTCCTCATTCAGTTTCAAGCACGCAAAACCGGAAGTCCAGGTCAGACCTTCTTCAGCTTTTAAGCCCAGTTGGTCAAATGCTGCCATTTAACAGGCCATTCCTTTGCAAAACCAAAGGATCAGAAAACAAGTGACGATTTATACGATTTTATTGCTGTGGATACTTGAGAATTTACATGAAAACATGATTCTCAAAAGACTCTATTTGGTGATTGGGAAGTGGAGGTTAATCTGGGATCCTTTTTAGGCAACAGTGGGACCTGAGTATATGGATATGTTTGTGGGGTGACTGCATGACTCCATATGAGCGTATTGTAAATGCCACAGAAGTACCAATAGAAGAGAATATTCTAGCACTGATGATGTTACCTAGCTGGGTAATGAAACGTCTGCAAGAAGACAAGCTCAGAGAGCATCAAGGACCCCACTGTCCCAGAAGTGGTCAGAAATGGAAAGATATTCAGAGCTTAAAATATTTGGAATGGTCCATTTTAGAGTCAGAAAAATTTGCACTGACCCTAAAACAGGACTCCATTTTACTGAGATTGTTTTATACTGAAATTAAATGGGACATGATCCCTGCAGCACTATTTTGAGCATTTCTTACTCCAAAGGCAGTCCTATTTGAGTCTAAAAAAAGCTTACTGCCTGGGAATATATTCCAATGCAGTCGGATATGGTTAGGGATATAGAAGAGATGTACTAATATGTTACATTTACAGTTTTCACGGGAGGCAAGTTGCAGCTGTATTTCCTGCAATAATGCTCTTCATCCAGGCATTATAATGAAAGACCTTGGTGTAGATACCAGGCTTACCACTTTGGCCACAAGGATGCCCCCCATAAGATACAATACCCTGGAATTGTCCATTAGAGATGAGGGGTGCCCCAGAGTCAAACTGTTGAGAAAAATCAAACATGAAACATTACTACCGTATCTATGAATGGGAAGTGGAGCAAACAATTCCCTCCCTTCATCCATTAAACATATAGCCCCCAATGTTTCACTTCCATGTTCCCCAATCCAGGATCCTTATAGAAGAATTTAACTCCTTGAGTTTTCCCCACCAGAATCACCAGTATTGGGAAGTCTGGAAATCTAGACACCTAGAAGGCACTTCAGTTAGAAAAAGCCGTAACTTTGTATGATTCTACAAGATGCCTTCAAGGCTCGATCTCTGTCATAGCTTCTAAAATTGGCATCATTTCTTTAGGAGTCTGTCTTAAAACGGATCATCTTACCCCACATGTATCTATGCCTCCTTCCAGGATACCTGCACACAATGTTTTGTATTCTGGCAGCAACTCTGGATAACCTGGTTTACACTCCACATCATCGAGTAGGTTAATGTTAGCACAATAAGGGACATCGGGAAAAGTCACTGAAAAAATAAAATAAAAAATAGCCAAAATTCTACCTTTCACAATTTACCACCTAGATGCATAGAACTATAATTTCCATTGTCTCCAACCAGTGGAGCTGATCTCATTGCCTGGAATAGGAAGTATTGTCTTTCAAAGCCGTTCAAAGGGACTTCTTGGAAAAACAGATTTAGTTAAAAAAAATTTCTCAAGATATCAATAGGTCTTAAATCAGCTGATGGGCATTTGAAGGCTTCTCAAATTTCTCCAGCACTCTATGCAAAGATTCCCTTGTTGGAAAAGTGGGGCTTTTGCTAGTTCAAAAGTCACAGAACTGATCTCGCATCCCCTGGAGATGACCTAGAACGGGGGTCTCCAAACTTGGCAACTTTAAGACTTGTGAACTTCCACTCCCAAAATTCCTCAGCCAGCATACTGAAACTTCCATATCTGAAGATGAAGCAGACCTGTAAGTTTGTATTGTGTACAAGAACAAAAAATCAGGAATCTTGTCCAAAAGATCCCTTGGGGAGGACAGATGAGGTGGAAATAAGTCTAAGGAAACAAAGGAAAAATGTCATCTGAATCAGACAAAGTTGACCCTGAGAATATGAAATAAACCCCAATCCCAGCTAATCAACAAATCAAGAACTTTTGAGGATACAAAGGGGTCACCCACTCCTTGAGTCATCTTTGGATCCACAACTTAGGAATTTCTGTCCCTCTTGCTGGTGCCTGGCAGCCTAATTGAGAAGGATGTGCTAAACATGGATGGGTGCATGTGTGCATATGAGAAAGAGAAAATTTACATTACAAGCAATAAAGTTTTGCTGTTACTTTAAATTCACTGGGTCTCCATGTATTCCAAAAAACCTGTGGTGCCTCAGTGATTAATTGAAAACTATTTGTGTGAGTCCTTAATTATTTCCCAGCTCTTGACCAAGGCTGTGTGACTTGTATGCTCTAGCTACACCTATTTGGTAGAAACCTAGGTAGAAAACAAGGTGGGCTTACAAGATCTACCTATCTTGGCAGGCTTGAATGTGTGGATGACCATAAGCTAAAGCTGAGAGTGCACGTAACACTTCCATGGCCTTACTAGCAATAGCACTTAGACCTATATACTGCACTCTCTGGGTGATTTACAATATCAGCATATTGCCCTCAATAATCTGCGTCTTCCTTTTATCAACCTCAAAAGGATGGAAGGCTGAGTCAACCTTGAGCCCCGCCAGGATTGAATTCCAGGCTGGGAGCAGAGATCGCCCTCTTGGAGACCTAGTGGACAATCACTTAAATATGAGTCATCAGTGTGCTGCAGCTGCCAAAAAAGCCAACACAGTGCTGGGCTGCATTAACAGAGGGATAGAATCAAGATCACGTGAAGTGTTAATACAACTTTACAATGCCTTAGTAAGGCCACACTTGGAATACTGCATCCAGTTTTGGTCACTATGATGTAAAAAAGATGTTGAGACTCTAGAAAGAGTACAGAGAAGAGCAACAAAGATGATTAGGGGACTGGAGGCTAAAACATATAAGGAATGGTTGCTGGAATTGGGTATGTCTAGTTTAACGAAGAGAAGGACGTGGAGGGACATGATAGCAGTGTTCCAATATCTCAGGGGCTGCCCCAAAGAAGAGGGAGTCAAGCTATTCTCCAAAGCGCCTGAAGGCAGGACGAGAAGCAACGGATGGAAACTAATCTAGGAGAGAAGCAACCTAGAACTAAGGAGAAACTTCCTGACAGTTAGAACAATTAACCAGTGGAACAACCTGCCTCCAGAAGTGCTCCAACACTGGAAGTTTTTAAGAAGAAGCTTAAAACAGCCGTTTCTCCGAAATGGTATAGGGTTTCCTGCCTGAGCAGGGGGTTGGACTAGATGATGATGATGATGATGATTTCTATTATTATTATATTGCATTCTAACTACTGCACCACCAGGACCTAAAAGGAAGAAGTCCTCTGCAACCATCCAAAGAGATTTTATATCCATCCAAGGATAGACCATGTTTTTGAATTCATAGTTGGCATTTTGAGAGCAAGTGGTAAATATACTCTGAAAACATCCACCGCGGGAGACTTCTCCATTTCCAAAACGGCCATGGCCATTCACAAAACACCCCATTATTAAAGGTAATGAAGCCACACAAGACTGCCATGCTAATGGGACTTTTCTGATTCCCAACAGCACTGCTATAAATAAACCTGATCCTATAGGTTTTTTTTTAGCTATACAGCATGCCAGTTCCTTACTTATTTCTTTTATTCCAAGGACCTTGTGGGTGTGGAACTGATGAAGAAATGGAATCTTAGGGAATCCCATTGTCCGTACACATTCCAATATTCATGGGTGACATAGTGGGACCCTAAAACCTAGTTGATGTTACATCAGAAGCTGCGTCTGAGATTATAGACCGAGATCCCTACCTTCAACAGGTGTGATTGATCCCCATCCCATAATACGGCAAACTGAGCCCACACTGGGAGGGCTGGAAGGCAAGCTGAGAGGCGCGATGTGTTCACTGTTGCTAACAGGACTGTCCAGCTTGATCAACATGATATCTTTGTCCACTACTTCATTGTATTTCTTATTGGGACAAATGAACTTCTCCTTTGGGCTTCTTATCTGTTCATCCTCATTTTGTATATTTTTGTTATGCACACCAAACTTCATCTTGAAATTTTTACTGCAAGAAAAGCAACAAGTTAACAACAACAACTTAAAGTAAATTCTATATTACTTGGGATGGTCCTTGACCTCATTTTGGCCCTCAAGCAGGATCGTTAGCGCCAAACAAGAAAGGGCCATAACCTACCTTCTCCAATTGTGTTTGGGGGAAAAACCTGTCAGAAACCTGGAAGAATTACAGTCAATGTCCTAGAGCAGTGGTGGCGAACCTATGGCACGGGTGCCAGAGGTGGCACTCAGAGCCCTCTCTGTGGGCACGCATGCCATCGCCCCAGTCCTAGGCCTTCAGCTGGGTTTTATAAAACCTTTTCGCTTTAGGCCTCTGCCATCATGTGCAAAAAAAAAAATGGTTCAATCAATCAGTCAATTTCAACTTCTCACGGGAAAAAAAAGATCTTGCAAAGTTGGAATTGATTGATTGAACTTTTTAGTCCCACCCAGCCTGCCGTTACCACTGCAGCCACGCCCACCCAATGGGCCACACCCAGCCAATGGGCCACACCCAGCCAATGGGCCACACCCACCCGGCATTCGAGGATGCATAAGTGGGTTTTGGGTTGCAGTTTGGGCACTTGGTCTCTAAAAGGTTCGCCATCACTGTCCTAGAGATCTGGGTTCACTCAAGAAATTTATTCAAAGTGATTGAATAAGCTATTTCCATTGTTTATGTAAAATCTTGAAGCGTGAATTCACCTGTGTTGTTTTTAGCACTCAGAAAGCTCAGCATGTAGTATGAATCCATCTCTTTCTTGACTTGGATGTGTATTGTGTGAATGTTGCACTTATAAATTATAGATGAGTGTGTTAAAGATAGAACCCATGTGGTTACAACACTAATGTTATGACTTTCAATTGTGCACATCCTCTCTCAACCCAGCCTATCTCAAAGGATGGTGGGATAGATAAAGAAGAACACAAAATCTGGATGGGGCCCACTCTGCTCTTGTTTAGAAGAGGTATTAAGATGTAGTGCCTCACCCAGGCCTTTGATAAGGGAGAGAGAAGCCTCTCACTTCATCAACTTTTTATCTTTTATGTTTTACTGATTTTTAAAAAAAAATATTTTCTTATGGCAAACCCCCAGAGTCAGGCAGCATATTATTAATATTTTCTGGTTAGTTGTGCAGTCAGTCAGATATTTAGACTGGATTTGGCATTTTTATCCACCTATCAAGTCCTTCCCAAGGAACTTGGGTAGGAAAATTTGTGGTTCCATGGTATTAAAAGGGATTGTCACAGGATGTTCCAGGTAAGGCTGCCTTTTGCAATTGACTGTGGTGATTTTGTCAATGCTGATGGTATTCAGGTAATGTTCCAGATTTTGTTATTCTTGTATTATTATATCCCAGAAAAAAGGAAAGATATGAATACTATGGTGAAGAAGATGAAAATTCAACCATAAATATAAACAGCATAGCTCAAGATATGATTGTGAGGAGCAATAAAAATAACAGCATAACACACATTCAAAATGCACAGAGAAGTCACTAAAACTAGGAGAAACATTATTAAAAAAATTGGATATCTAAACACGATCTCCCTCAACCCTTCCACATTCTGTAATGCCCTCACCTGTCGCAGTGTGCAGCGGTGACCACCCATTCTGAGTTGATCAAAGTCCCAGCGCAGAAAAACCCGGTAGAGTTAAAAATGGCTACAAGGGAACGATGTTCATTTATGTTACATTCATTACCTCCAACGACCAGTTCAGAAGACTTTTGTGCTGCAAAGAAACCAAAAAAGTTCAGTGGTTGGCTGTGGAATCGCTTTTATTTGTAGTGTTTCTATCAGTACACTAATTTTGGAGGTTAACAGATGACTGTGGGCACAGAGCATCAAACCAGTAGAATAAAATGGATTATTTGCAAATCATATATATGCCTATGCCCACAATTAACGGGTGACAGTGGCTATAACTTAGGCTATAAAGAGGCTTTAGAATAAGTGGGATAAGAGATATAAGTAATATGGTATTTTTTGATAAGATACAAAATTAAAAATATTGGGATGATGAAAGTGAAAGAAAAGTTTGAACTTTAAAGACAAATTAAGTTTGAAAAGATTTAGGATTCAGAAATGATTGAAATACTGAGGGGGAATTAGGCTTAATAAGAACTTTGAAAAAAGGATATATAGTGATTCAATCAATTTTATGAATAGAAGTGAAATATAAATTGATTAGAAAATATGTTATAGGTAGATGTTATGATACATAAGCAGCATAGTATTTCTATAATATATGAAATATGAAAATACTGGGATGATATATTTAAGTGGAAAATTTGATATTTAGATGTTAATTATTGAGAAAATTATGATTGATAAGAATTGTTGAATATTATGGAGAAATTGAAAAGATTTATGAAAATAATATATTGTGAATCAATAAGATGACTTTTATGAAAATAACAGAAGCTGATAAGAAAAAAAATGATATATATGGATGCTATTATTATTGTTAAAAATATAGAAGACTGCTCAGTAACTTAATGGTATCACTGCCAGTCAGATTACGCTAATCAGTTGAAGTAAGAAGAATAGTTCAGATGAGCTTCTGGAAAGGATGGACATTTAGAAGCATTTGGTCCAGAGTCTGATCTTGCTGTACTGCATTGCTAAGCAAAATACATGGCCTCATGATGGGGAGCATAGGGGGCAGAAGGAGTAAAAGTGGGGAAGAGATTGATGAAAATGGAATTCAATCTATGGGAAGTTGATAACATTAGTATTTAGTTCACTAAAAACAGTTTGAGCCAACATTGATGGCAGTAAAATCCCTACATACCGGTTTTGGTATTTGTTTCAGAAGCAATGACCCAGATATTGCACGCTGTATAATGCAGCAAATCTAACAGAATGGGAGCTAGGTTAAATCCAACAGATATATTTTACCACTTTGGACAAAAATCAATGGCCATCTCATGCACCATTTTTTAAAGACTCCCTTAACACTGAAAACCCCTCCCCAACTTTTTTCTCATTGCATCTTATATTAATTAACAAGTTATCTTCCTCTATTGAAGTCAGTTGCCAAATAAATAGAAACACGAAAGGAAGCTGACCATATTTGGGATTATATATTTTTAACTGGCTAGTTTTGCTGATATGAATAAATGTATCAATTCATACTATCATTACAAATACAGCAATAGTCTTCCCCATTTGCACCAACTGGGCCTTCTTCGCTCACTCTCTACTTGTGACCTGCTTGTACATCTACAGTTAATAATTACATGCAAGTTTATTCCTGTAACTGGAGGTTTAAACTGAAAAAGACACCTAAAGCTCCGTCCACCCCTTGCTCCATTGTCCAGGCTCTTACCGTAAGAAAGCTGTAGTATCAGAAGGTTTGCTAGCACTCTGATCAGCACCATAGCTTCAACTCTGTGTGGCAAGCTGTTTGCCTGGAATTTAGAGATGGGGAACAATTTTGGCAAGAATGCACAGTTCAAAATATTTGATTAATCACTTTGTTCTCTTCCACTCCGAGGCAGAAGGACAGATGTGGAAAAAAAGCCAGTTTCTCACCTGTAAGATCCCAGTCCCAAACCTAAACTTGAGATACCGTATTAATCTAATCAGATAAGCCAAGCGGAGACTTCTTGATCAAGCAGCACTTTATTTGATCAAATTAAGCAGCTGGGTGGCCAACAATCTGGAACGCTGACAGAGTTACGTCCAGAAGTGTCACATCTTAGAAAGTTGGTAGCATTGCTTTATACACTTTGTTAGCCAATGAAAATCAGACAACAGAGCCATTACATCATAAGAAAGACATCAATCATTCTTGTGCAGTCCCTTATTCCTTCCTTCAGTATATCCCATCCATGTACACGTTTCCCAAGCTTGCATGAAATTTCTCTGGTGCAAAAACTGATTATAAAAAGCAAGAAAGCAGCAGTTAGACTAAACAATTTCCCTTTGTTGGAGATGTGGAAGTCTAGATGCAACTTATTTTCATATTTGGTGGACGTGTAGGGAAATAAAAGCATTTTTGATCAAGGTTTGGTGGAATATTCAAAATATTTTTAAGAAAAAGATAAAGTTCACACCGCAGTTATTTTTATTAGGTATTATGGGAGATTTGGATGCTAAAGAAATGAATCTGATGTTAAATCTGATAACAGCTGCAAGACTATTGGTAGCTCAAAACTGGAAGACGGATCGTTTGCCTACTGTAGAAGAATGGTCTCTTAAAGTGGCAAATTTAGCAGAAATGGCTAAGATTTCTGCTTATTTAAAGGATCAAACACAGGAAAGATATATTTCGGTTTGGAGAAAATGGATAGATTATATTCAGAATAAATATGGGACTGAAAAGTTCCATTAGGTGTTTGAGTAAATTTTACAGTATTGTTATTGTGAATATTTTATTATATTTTTATAGCTTTTATTATATTTTATTATATTGATATTATTATTATTTTGAGTAGTAATTTTGTTTAATAATTAAGTTGATTATTTGTTTATTATTGTGTTTAATTTTAAATTATCTAAATTTATTTTAAAAGGGAGTTAAAGTGTGTTATAGATTTGGTTACATAATTAGTTGGATAATGTTATTTAGATTATGATTAACATATTTGTAACCCTGTGAACAGCTCTGGGAAGTGGGGGGGTCTGGGGGGTGAGAAGGGGGTTTATTTTGTAAATGTTATAAAACTTTTAATAAAAAAAAAAGAATGCACAGTTCAGAATATTTGATTAATCACTTTGTTCTCTTCCACTCCGAGGCAGAAGGACAGATGTGGAAAAAACGCCAGTTTCTCACCTGTAAGATCCCAGTCCCAAACTTAAACTTGAGATACCGTACCAATCTAATCAGATAACCCAAGTGGAGACTTCTTGATCAAGCAGCACTTTATTTCATCAAATTAAGCAGTGGGGTGGCCAACAATCTGGAACCGTGGCAGAGTCATGTCCAGAAGTGTCACATCTCAGAAAGTTGATAGCATTGCTTTATACATTTTGTTAGACAATGAAAATCAGACAACAGAGCCATTACATCATATGAAAGACACTCCCTTATTCCCTCCATCCATGTACATATATATTCCATGCATGTACACGTTTCCCAAGCTTGCATGAAATTTCTCTGGTGCAAAAGCTAATTTAAAAAAGCAAGAAACCAACAGTTAGACTAAACAATTTCCCTTTGTTCCAGAACCCTTCACATCCTTATGTAACTTGGCTCTATATCATGCAGCCTGAACAGTGGTGGGATTCAAATATGTGAACAACCGGTTCTCTGTGTGGATGCCGCTTCCAGAAGTCCATTCTGGGCCTGGGCAACAAAAAATTAGCTACCAGTTCTGCCAAAGTGGTACGAACCAGCTGAATCCCACCATTGAGCCTGAAGCATGAAAGAACACTGATAACAAGAATGGATATGTATCTCAATAAAAACAGATCCTCCCAGAAAGCAAAAACCCCTAATATGTGATTAATGCAGTCTATGTGAGATGCCGGTGCAGAATTCACTTCAGCTTTAGGATGGAAGGAAAACAGATTTTTTTTCTTTTACCTGGAAATATTTTTAAACCTAAGAAAGCCAGGGCAGTTAGATCATATAAAGGCAACCACACACTCAGTTCTCCCATTTGTTTGGGTGGTGTGGAAAAATGACTGTTTCTGTATTATGAATAGTGGGGGCAACAATTTTCAGGGTTGTGAGACTGGTTTGAAAACACTCCACATTTTCCATTCTAGGATCTAGTTTTGGAAAAGCAGATCAGGAAAGCTGGCTATGCACAGTACTGGATGGAGGCTGTCCACAGCTGTAATTTGTTTGAATTTGGTTTGGTTAAAATTAGCATTAACCTTTAAATTACATCCTCTTCAGATGCCTGGACTTCAACTCTTAGAATTTCCCAGTCAGGATGGTAATTGTAGAGAATTAGGGAAATTGAAGTCTGTACAACTGGGGGGAGGGTATCCAGCTGTGGTACTAGACTGGCTCAGGAGTTCTGGGAGTTGAAATCCACAAGTCATAAGGGGAGCCACAGTTCCCCACCTCCACTCTAGAAGCAGCTGCACTTTTGGGGTTGCGACCCATCAGGAAAATGAGGGGCAGAGCTAGAGCGTCCTTGCGCCTGTTCTTCCGGTGTTGCTCTAGCCTCCCCGTTGCTGATTTCGGCATCTTGGTGGCCTGTTCTGTAGGTCACTTTGAGGAAGCTGCTGCTTCATCGTCCTCATTGCGATGAGAAGCTGGGAGCTCGCTCACAGCCAGCCAAAGAAAGGAGCCCGGCTAGGGTTGCCAGGTCTGCTTCCAAAAAATAGCGGACAAGCGGGGGGGGGGTTAAGTAGTAAAAAAAGTAGACTGTACAGCTTTAGATTATGTGCCATTTCATCATAAAGCTTTTGAATAAAAAAATGTCCACTATTGTGTGAAAAACAATAGTGAACATAATGTGAAAAAAGTGGACTGTCTGCTCAAATAGTGGACACCTGGCAACCTTAAGCCTGGCTGCTCCGGGCCTTGGTTCCATTCTCGGGGGGGGGGCTTCCTGGCAGTGCCGACCCTTGGGAAGAGTGCGGGAAGGCCCAGTGCTCAGGGCGCCTCCACCCCAATGTGGAGATGCACCCGTCTGGGTCTTTGGGTCACAGGCTGTGTCCTTCAGGCCATTGGCACATCAATTTTGGGGATGGTAGGGATGGGAAAGTCTGGGGGAGAAAAACCCATTGTGTTTGGCACCATGCAAATGAAATAAATGCATGGTGCTGTAAGGTCCCAGTCCCTTTTTTATACTTGAGATACCATATTAATCTAATTAGATAACCCAAGCAGACACTTCTTGATTAAGCAGCACTTTATTTAATTAAATTAAGCAGCTGGGTGGCCAACAATCTGGAACGCTGGCAGAATCACATCCAGAAGTGCCACGTCATAGAAAGTTGGTAGCATTGCTTTATAAAGTTTGTTAGCCAATGACAATCAGTCAACAGAGCCAAAAAGCAAGAAACCAACAGACTAAACAATTTCCCTTTGTTCCAGAACCCTTCACATCCTTATGTATCTTGGCTCTATATCATGCAGGCTGAACAGTGGTGGGATTCAAATATGTGAACAACCGGTTCTCTGTGTGGATGCCACTTCCAGAAATCCATTCTGGGCCTGGGCAACAAAAAATTAGCTACCAGTTCTGCCAAAGTGATGCGAACCAGCTGAATCCCACCACTGAGCCTGAAGCACAAAAGAACACTAATAACAAGACTGGATATGTATCTCAATAAAAGCAGACCCTTCCGGAAAGCAAAAAACCTTAAGAGGGGAGATGCGCCTGTCTGGGTTTTTGGGTCTCAGGCTGCGTCCTCCTGGCCATTGGCACGTCAGTTTTGGGGATGGGTAGAGATGGGAAAGCCTGGGGGGGAAAAACCCTGGAAAATGAGGAAAAAACAGTTCTCCTCCCCCCTTTTTTCCCAAAACCATTTGGAAAAATATGGGGGGAAAACCCTCCCCCCCATTTTTCCAGTTTTTTCCCAGGCCTTCCCATCTCCAGGGGTGAGGAAGGTTGGAGTCCAGTGCATGCGGTGGAAGCAACAGGAGGAGGCCGGGGTCCTTCGGGAGGTTTGGACCCCAAACAGCCACAGTTCTGGTTCTGTTGATGGGGAACCCGCCTTGTCTTCCCCGGGTATCCGTCGAGGAAAGAGCTCATGCAGATTGTCCTACTTTCCTTGGTCGCCTCCCCTTTTTATTCTTGGCACCCACCCACCCCCAACTACTACAAAAAAGGGGGCTCAGGGAGAGAGATATTTTTAGCCATGCTTTTATTTACATAAACAAATGGGGGTATTTTTGGATGGGTGCAAGGAAGAAATTGACTTTCTTACACATTGACTGAAAATATCATCTATTCATATTCTTAAGAGTTTCTTTTCCATTTTTTTCATATCAGTCTTACTAAATTCAAAGAAACTGGGGGGAGGGCGCACTTCTTGCAAGGCTATTGTTGTTTGGCCTGTCCATGTTTGATTTCGTTAAGCCATTCCTAAAAATACAACCTATGCTTGTAGTCTTGGGCCATAAGCATCATTGGCTGGGTTCGCACAACGCAACGATCAAGGAGCTTAACTTTTTTTTTCTGGCTCAAAAGATTTGCTTAGGTTTTGAATGGCCTAGTGGGATGCAGCTATAATAATAATAAAGTTGGAAGGGACCTTGGAGGTCATCTAGTCCAACCCCCTGCTCAGGCAGGAAACCCTATACTATTTCAGACAAATGGCTGTCCAGTCACTTCTTAAAAACTTCCATTGTTGGAGCATTCACAGATTCTGGAGGCAGATTGTTCCACTGGTTAATTCCTGGAGCTGGGCCAGACACTCATTTTGACTTAATTTTATTTACATGAAATGTTAATAAAAGTTAAACATACAGTTCTTCTCCGGTCATGTATTTGATGGCTTCTCACCCCTGCTTTAGATAACAGGGCATAAATAGCTCTGCTAGATTGACCAAAGCCTATCTCGGTCCAAGATTTTGTTTCTCGCAGTGCCCACTAGATACTGCTGGGTTACTCACAAGCAAGAAATGAGGGCCTCCCCTGCACCTGATAGTTGGACCGTACTTCCCCCAGCTTGGAAGCGTTCACGATTATAGCCCTTACTGCGCCTGTCCTCATTGGGTCAAAAATCTATCCAAGATGATTATCGCTACGTTACATACTATTGAATTAAACAGGTTAAGAACAATGTATTTGGTCTGTAGATGAAAGGAAGGGCCAAGGTAGACTTATCCGAGAATGAGTCCTGTTAAAGGACTGCCGAGGGAGGACTACCTAAGATGGAAGCCGAGTTCTCAATAATAGCAAAATCAAACCTAGCTCAGTTTAGGTTATGTAATGATCTGATCTCTGCTAATAATCCATAAATGGTAGGAACAACGATCAGTTGCCTTTACACATTGCATTAGGCGATCAAACAGGTTGGTTTGGTGATGGCTTCCTGACCTATATGAACCTAAGCAATTGTGAGCTTCATTGCCGTACTTCAGAATTTTTTTTTTTCCAATGTCCCACTCTAGTAGTATTCTTTCCACCAGGTCAGACTTTTTTCTTTCTTCTTTTTTTTTTTGTAATTTATTGATTTTTTAAAACATAAATCACTTAATAATTGGTGAACAGTGTGTTTTCTGGGTTTATATTTGTAAAACGAGGGGTTTTTTTTTTCTCATAGAACGCCCAGAACAGAGTTCCAGCACCTTTTTTTGGATGGAACCTTGTAGGGTAGGCAAGGCGGGTTGTATGACATGTGTGAGTTCCGGCACCTTTTTTTTTTTTTTTTAAAAGCACTGTGTAAAACAATCACTAACAATTGATTTCTATAATCCATAATCCACTTAATACTTTTAATTGATTTCCTCTTTTCCCCAAAATACCTCTTTTGCAAACATTGAGTTAATACAATTATTAATGATTAGATAGATAACAATTAAATATATAATTTTTTCCAAATATTCCTAAAAATAATAATCAAATCAATATAATATTTCTTTTCTATCCAATCATTCTGGTTGCCTTATCATAGATCCTGTTACAGTCCTTATTTAAATTTGTTTCTCCCACAAGATTCTAAGTATTCTTACTGGTTAAGATTTTCTCAAAAATTAATTACATTTAAAAATTTGACTCTATTTTTTCATATGAACCATCTCACACTTTTACATTTCTTAAAGAATAAAGATTAAATCATGTTTCCTTGTTTTGTTAAGTTCCATCTTTAATTCTCTATTCTCAATTTTGTATCCATTTATATGTTTTATCTGCTCCTTCTCTATTGTTTTTTTCTGGGAATTTTTGTTGTTGTAGAGTTAACTTGGAAATAGATTGATTTATATTTTCAAAGTTATTTTGGATTTCTTTGTGGTTTAAAATCATTGTTGTTTGAATTAGTTGCAGTGTACTATATATCTCCTCCTGTGGAGTATTTATGTTTTCTTGATATATTCTTTCTACATGGCTCTGATCCATGATGGCCAAGAATTTGAGTTTTTCTCTTCTTTTCTTTTCTCTGCAAATAGCTTTAGAGTCCCGATTAAATAGATATTTGTATTCCAAATCGTTCAAAAAATATTTTTTTTCTGAAATTTATACTTCTCTCAATAGGTGTCAGCATCTATTTGTTTTTCAATTTTCAAAATGAACAATTATCTTTAGAATGAGAGTCTTAACCATTCAAAAATTTTAGATTTATTCAGATTTCAGTTTTAAATTTCAGGTTTTATATTTGTTTCACTTCCATATATTTTAATCCTCCATAAAAAGATTAATTCGCCACTTCCGTTTGTATAAGGGTGGGGCGGAAATCCCCCTCCTTCCGATTCGGAGGTATTTTGCTTCTTGGGGATCTTTTCCAGGAAATTAAATATAGAATAGAAAAGAGAAGATCAAATTCCTCATTCAGTTTCAAGCACGCAAAACCGGAAGTCCAGGTCAGAGCTTTTTCAGCTTTTAAGCCCAGTAGTTCAAATGCTGCCATTTAACAGGCCATTCCTTTGCAAAACCAAAGGATCAGAAAACAAGAGACGATCTATACGATTTTATTGCTGTGGATACTTGAGAATTTACATAAAAACATGATTCTCAAAAGGTTCTATTTATTGATTGGGAAGTGGGGGTTAATCTGGGATCCTTTTTAGGCAACAGTGGGACCCGGGTATATGGATATGTTTGTGGGGTGACTGCATGACTCCATATGAGCGTATTGTAAATGCCACAGAAGTACCAATAGAAGAGAATATTCTAGCACTGATGATGTTACCTAGCTGGGTAATGAAATGTCTGCAAGAAGACAAGCTCAGAGAGCATCAAGGACCCCACTGTCCCAGAAGTGGACAGAAATGGAAAGATTTCAGAGGTTAAAATATTTGGAATGGTCCATTTTAGAGTCAGAAATTTTGCACCTCACCCTAAAACAGGCCTCCATTTTATTGAGATTGTTTTATACTGAAATTAAATGGGACATGATCCCTGCAGCACTATTTTGAGCATTTCTTACTCCAAAGGCAGTCCTATTTGAGTCTAAAAAAAGCTTACTGCCTGGGAATATATTCCAATGTAGTTGGATATGGTTAGGGATATAGAAGAGATGTACTAATATGTTACATTTTCTCCTCTTGACTTTTTCAAAAGTTTTCACGGGGGGCATGTCACAGCTGTATTTCCTGCAATAATGCTCTTGATCCAGTCAAGATGATCAAAGACATTGGTGTAGATGGCAGGCTTACGCGGTCGGGCACAGGTTTTGCCCCCAGCTTGTACAATGCCTTGGAATTGTCCATTACAGATGAGGGGTCCCCCAGAGTCACCCTATTGAGAAAAATCAGACATGAAACATTATTACCGTATCTATGAATGGGAAGTGGAGCAAACAATTCCCTCCCATCGTCCATTCACATATAGCCCCCAATGCTTCACTACAATGTTCCCCAATCCAGGATCCTTGTAGAAGAATTTAACTCCTTGAGTTTTCCCCTCCAGAATCACCAGTATTGGGAAGTCTGGAAATCTAGACACCTAGAAGGCACTTGAGTTAGAAAAAGCCGTAACTTTGTATGTTTTTACAAGATGCCTTCAAGGCTAGATCTCTGTCATAGCTTTGAAAATTAGCATCATTTCTTTAGGAGTCTGTCTTAAAACGGATCATCTTACGTGACATGTATCTATGCCTCCTTCCAGGATACCTGCGCACAATGTTCTGCTTGTCGCTGGCAACTCTGGGTAAGCTGCTCGACACACCGTATAATTGAACAGGTTAATGTTAGCACAATGAGGGACATCGGGAAAAGTCTCTGAAAAAAAATAAAAAATAGGCAAAATTCTACTTTTTACAATTTACCACCTAGATGCATAGAGCTATAATTTCCATTGTCTTCAACCAGTGGAGGTGATCTCATTGCCTGGAATAGGAAGTGTTGTCTTTCAAAGCCATTCAAAGGGGCTCTTGAGAAAAAACAGATTTAGTTAAATGTTTTTTGTAAGGATATTAATAGGTCTTAAATCAGCTGATAGGCATTTGAAGGCTTCTCAAATTTCTCCGGCACCCTAGAAAGATTGCCTTGTTGGAAAAGTGAGGCTTTTGCTAGTTCAAAAGTCATAGAACTGATCTCGCATCCCCTGGAGATGACCTAGAACGGGGGTCTCCAAACATGGCAACTTTAAGACTTCTGAAATTCCACTCCCAAAATTCCTCAGCCAGCATATTGAAACTTCCATATCTGAACATGAATCAGACCCATAAGTTTGTATTGTGTATAAGAACAAAAAGCCAGGAACCTTGTCTGAAAGATCCCTTGGGGAGGACAGATGAGGTGGAAATAAGTCTAAGGAAACAAAGGGAAAATGTTATCTGAATCAGACAAAGTTGAGCCTGAGAATATGGAATAAACCCCAATCCCAACCAATCAACAAATCAAGAACCTTTCAGGATAAAAAGGGGTCCTAAAGCTCACCCATTCCTTGAGTCATCTTTAAATCCAGAAGTTAGGAGTTTCTGTCCCTCTAGCTGGTGCCTGGCAGCCTTATTGAGAAGGATGTGTCTAAACATGGATGGGTGCATGTGTGCGTATGAGAAAGAATAAATTTACATTGCAAGCAGTAAAGTTTTGCTGTTACTTTAAATTCACTGGGTCTCCATGTATTCTAAAAAACCTGTAGTGCTTCAGTGGTTAGTTGAAAATTATTTGTGTGAGTCCTTAATTATTTCGCAGCTCTTGACCAAGGCTGTGTGACTTGTCTGCTCTAGCTACACCTATTTGGTAGAAACCTAAGTAGAAAACAAGGTGGGCTTACAAGATCTACCTACCTTGTGGCTTATGTGTGGATGACCATAAGCCAAAGCTGAGAGTGCATGTAACACTTCCATGGCCTTACTAGCAATAGCAATAGCACTTAGACTTATATACTGCACTCTCTGGGTGATTTACAGTATCCGCATATTGCCCCCAACAATCTGAGTCCTCCTTTTATCAACCTCAAAAGGATGGAAGGCTGAGTCAACCTTGAGCCCCGTCAGGATCGAATTCCAGGCTGGGAGCAAAGATAGCCAGCAATACTGCATTCTAACCACTGCACCACCAGGACTTAAAAGGAAGAAGTCCTCTGCAACCATCCACAGAGATTTTATATCCATCCAAGGATATACCATGTTTTTGAGTTCATATTTGGCATTTTGAGAGCAAGTGGTAAATATACTCTGAAAACATTCTCCACGGGAGACTTCTCCATTTCTAAAATGGCCATGGCCATTCACAAAACACCCCATTATTAAAGGTAATGAAGCCATGCAAGACTGCCATGCTAATGGGACTTTTCTGATTCCCAACAGCACTGCTATAAATAAACCTGATCCTATAGGTTTTTTTTAGCTATACAGCATGCCAGTTCCTTCCTTATTTCTTTTATTCCAAGGACCTTGTGGGTGTGGAACTGATAAAGAAATGAAATCTTAGGGAATTCCATTGTCCATCCACATTCCAATATGCATGGGTGACATAGTGGGACCCTAGACCTAGTTGATGTTACATCAAACACTGATTCTGAGAGTATAGACAGAGATCCTTACCATTAGGAGATGTGATTGCGCCCCATCCCATAATACGGCAAACTGAGCCCACACTGGGAGGGTTGGAAGGCAAGCTGATAGGCGCGATGTGTTTACTGTTCCTAACAGGACTGTACAGCCTGATCAACATGATGTCCTTGTCCCATTTGGTATAGTTTTTGCTACAGGGAAAAAAGTACTTCTTCTCTGGGTATCTTGTCTCCTCATAATCAAATTCTACACTTTGGTTATGCGCACCAAGGTATATGATGATAAAGTGTCTACAAGAAAAAAACAAGAGGTTAACAACAACAACTTAAAGTAAACTGTATATTACTTGGGATGGTCCTTGACCTCATTTTGGCCCTCAAGCAGGATTGTTAGCGCGTGAAAGCTGGAAGACTTACTGTCAATGTCCTAGAGATCTTGGTTCACTCAAGATATTTATTAAAAGGTGATTGAATAAGCTATTTCCATTTTTTATGTAAAATCTTGAAGCGTGAATTCACCTGTGTGCTGTTTAGCACTCAGAAAGCTCAGCATATAATATGAATCCATCTCTTTCTTGACATGGATGTGTATTGTGTGAATATTGCACTTATAAATTATAGATGACTGTTAAAGATAGAACCCATGTGGTTACCGTACTAATGTTATGACTTTGTATTGCGCACATCCTCTCTCAACCCAGCCTATCTCAAAGGATGGTGGGACAGATAAAGACGAACACAAAATCTGGATGGTGCCCACTCTGCTCTTGCTTAGTATTAAGATGTAGTGCCTCACCCAGGCCTTTGATAAGGGAGAGAGAAGCCTCTCACTTCATCATCTTTTTATCTTTTATGTTTTACTGATTTTTTTAAAAAAATATTTTCTTATGGCAAACCCCCAGAGTCAGGCAGCATATGGTTAATATTTTCTGGTTAGTTGCGCAGTCAGTCAGATATTTAGACTGGATTTGGCATTTTTATCCACCTCTCAAGTCCTTCCCAAGGACCTGGGGTAGGTAAATGTTGTGGTTCCATGGTATTAAAGGGTATTCAGGTAATGTTCCAGATTTTGTTATTCTTGTTATTATTATATTCCAGAAAAAAGGAAAGATATGAATTCTATGGTGAAGAAGATGGAAATTCAACCCTAAATATAAACAGCATTGCTCAAGATATGATTGTGAGGAGCAATAGCAGTAGCAGCAGAACACTAATTCAAAATGCAAAGAGAAGTCATTAAAAACTAGCAGAAACATTATAAAAAAACTGGATATCTAAACACGATCTCCCTCAACCCTTCCACATTCTGTAATGCCCTCACGTGTTGCAGTGTGCAGCGGTGAGCACCCATTCCGGGTGGATCAAAGTCCCACCACAGAGAAATCTTCCAGACAAAGCATCATGCAAGGCTACAAGGAAACGATGTTCATTTATGTTACATTCATCACCTCCAATGACCAGTTCAGAAGTCCTTTGTGCTGCAAAGAAACGAAAAACATTCAGTGTTTGGCTGTGGAGTAGAACAGAATCACTTTTATTGGCAGTGTTTCTATCAGTACACTAATTTTGATAGGTAACAGATGACTGTGGGACACACAGCATCCAAACCAATTGAATAAAATGGATTATTTGCAAATCATATATATGGCTATGCCCATGTAGGTAAACTATCTGTGAATCTTAAGTGATTAATGTGTGTGTGTGTGTGTGTGTGTCTGTGTCTGTGTATGTATACACACACATACACTTGAGAAAGGGCATCAGATTTTCATTTTCAACATGTGCCAGTGTGTTCACATGAGCTTCTAAAAAGGATGGACATTTAGAAGCATTTGGTCCAGAGTCTGATCTCGCTGTACTGCATTGCTAAGCAAAATATGTGGCCTCATGATGGGGAGAATAGGGGGCAGAAGAAGTGAAAGTGGGGAAGAGATTGATGAAAATGGAATTTAATTTATGGTAAGTTGATAACATTAGTATTTAGTTCACTAAAAAAAGTTTGAGCCAATATTGATGGCAGTAAAATTCCTACATACCAGCTTTGATATTTGTTTCAGAAGCAATGACCCGGATATTGCACGCTCTATAATGAAGCAAATCTAACAGAATGGGAGCTAGGTTAAATCCCACAGATTTATTTTACCACTTTGGACAAAAATCAATGGCCATCTCATACACCATTTTTAAGACCACCTTAACACTGAAAACCCCTCCCCAACTTTTTTCTTAATGAATCTTATATTAATTAATGTTATCTTCCTCTATTGAAGTCAGTTGCCAAATAAATAGAAACACGAAAAGAAGCTGACCATATTTGGGATTATATATTTTTAACTGGCTAGTTTTGCTGATATGAATAAATGTATCAATTCATACTATCATTACAAATACAGCAATGGTCTTCCCCATTTGCACCAGCCGGGCCTTCTTCATCCACTCTCTACTTGTGATCTGCTTGTACATCTACAGTTAATAATTACATGCAAGTTTATTCCTGTAACTGGAGATTTCAACCGAAAAAGACACCTAAAGCTCCGTCCACCCCTTGCTCCATTGTCCAGGCTCTTACCGTAAGAAAGCTGTAGTATCAGAAGGTTTGCTAGCACTCTGATCAGCACCATAGCTTCAGCTCTGTGTGGAAAGCTGTTTGCCTGGAATTTAGAAATGGGGAACAATTTTGGCAAGAATGCACAGTTCATAATATTTGATTAATCACTTTGTTCTCTTCCACTCCGAGGCAGAAGGAGAGATGTGGAAAAAATGCCAGTTTCTCACCTGTAAGATCCCAGTCCCGAACTTAAACTTGAGATACGTATCAACCTAATCAGATAACCCAAGTGGAGACTTCTTGATCAAGGAGCACTTTATTTGATCAAATTAAGCAGCTGGATGGCCAACAATCTCGAACGTTGGCAGCGTCACATCCAGAAGTGTCACGTCTCAGAAAGTTGGTAGCATTGCTTTATACACTTTGTTAGCCAATGAAAATCAGACAACAGAGCCATTACATCATAAGAAAGACATCAATCATTCCTGTACACTCCCTTATTCCCTCCTTCAGTATATCCCATCCATGTACACGTTTCCAAAGGTTGCATGAAATTTCTCTGGTGCAAAAACTGATTATAAAAAGCAAGAAAGCAACAGTTAGACTAAACAATTTATCTTTGTTCCAGAACCCTTCACATCCTTATGTAACTTGGTTCTATATCATGCAGGCTGAACAGTGGTGGGATTCAAATATGTGAACAACTGGTTCTCTTTGTGGATGCCGCTTCCGGAAGTCCATTCTGGGCCTGGGCAACAAAATCAGCTACCGGTTCTGCTGAAGTGGTGTGAACTGGCTGAATACCACCACTGTATTTGGATGTGTTGGAGGGCAAAATGGTGGATACAGGGAGGTTCTTTTTTTATTTTGGAGATCCAGGTGTTGGACAATACACAGTCTTGTAGATTCTTCAGGCTTATACACAGTTCTGTTTTAAGGGCTCTTCTGGATCCTAGATTAGATGCATTTTGAATTTTTTTCCCCTAGTAGATTTCGACCGCTGTGAGAAAGCTATGAATGCCAAAGGCTCTGATCCCTATGTCTGTCAGTGGTATAAAAAAGTATACTCATCCCTGTGCCCTTCTTTTTGGGTAAGTAAATTACCTAAGTCTGGCTAAAGTGTTTTTCTACAAGAAACCAGTTGGGGACAAAGGAAGACACTCAGTAGAAAATCTCTCCCTTTTCAGTGGATCAGCCATGAAGGGTCAGACCAAAATACTTTGGAATCCCTGGCATATTAATCATGGGTGTTGCAGTTCCAGTCCATCTGGGAAACAATTGATTACCAACTCCACGCCGTCAAAAAAACTCCATTCAGAATTGTATTCAAAAGATTTCTTTCAGGACATAATTGAGAAGTATAATTGTATGGAAGAGTTACAGTTCTAACGGCATCACTCTTATTGAGAAACGGTGATCAAAGGAATGTCCTGTTATTTTGCAGGTTGACAACTGGGATGAACTTGGGGAAAATGGCTGTTTTCCAGGCAAAATCTGATGGTCTTTTGTCTGCCAGTAGCTCCCCCTACTCAGGATGTTGCACTGCTGAGTTCTTTCTATGTGTACATCTGAAGGATTGTCTGAAATGGCTCTTGTCTGCCTGAGCATCTGAATCATTTAATAGTACAAAACCTTGGATATTACCCATTCTAATAAAATGCATAATACCCATGCCTGTGTTTATCCTGCTAACTCAATTAATGATTCATGAATATCTTCTACCACTTGCTTTATCTATGGTAATGTTCTCAAAGAATGGGACAGATGTCATTACTGTGGTATATGTGGTGCTTTCTCACTGGACCCCTTTTAACAAGATAGAAGCCTTTCCATTCATTGCGTTAAATAGCATATATTTACATGGGAAACTTTGTAGCTGCTTGTATGGGTTATTACAGAAATTATTACACCAGGGTCAGCCATTTCACACCTGCTCATTTCTTAGTTCCTAATCCCATGTTCTGGGCTAAGCAAGAACCACGTGAAAAATTACATGGGTAGATGGTCTTGATTTCAACATATTTGAATAGCCTCATATGTTGTCTCCTCTTATCATAGGCAGCCAGTGAACACATAAAGATCTGATCTTGAGAAGGCCATCAGATATCACACGGGCTCACACATTGTGTTAGATTATTGTGTTTTTCTTTGTAGGCTAACTGTTGAGCAGGCTAAGCCAACAACTCTGTTTTATGAAGAGGAGATTCATGGTTTAAAACAGTGGTTCTCAACCTTTTTAATGCTGCGACCCCCAACCGGTCGTAAGTCGAGGAGTAAACCAGTCGTACGTCGAGGACTAAACCGGTCATAAGTCAAGGACTACCCAACCGGTCGTAAGTCGAGGACTTTCCCTGCCCGGGAGCGCCGCAAGCGGCAGAGACGGAGCAGACCAACCACCAGCTGGCCCAGCTCAAGGGAGGTAAGAAAAGGGGAAAAAAATGGCAGACAGCCTTGCTTGGTGACCCCCGTGAAATAGTCGATCGACCCCAAATGGGGTCGTGAGAACCGCTGGTTTAAAAAGTTGAGTGAAAATATCACTCAAAACTCAAGTGTGCCTGGCTGAGGAATTCTGGGAGTTGAAGTCCACAAGTTATGAATGTGCCAAGTTTGAAGACACCAGCTATATATCTTTCTAGCAGAAAAAAGTGTTTGGGTGCTATGTTTGGTGTTGTGTATTTTCTATATACTCTTAAAGGCAGTATCTACTAGGGAATCAGAGGCATGTGCCAAACCCATTGTGTTTGGCACCATACAAATGAAATACATGCATGGTGCTGTAAGGTCCCAGTCCCTTGAGATACCATATTAATCTAATTAGATAACCCAATCGGAGACTTCTTGATTAAGCAGCACTTTATTTGCTCAAATTAAGCAGCTGAATGGGCAACAATCTGGAACCATGGCAGATTCACGTCCAGAAATGCCATGCATTAGAAAGTTGGTAGCATTGCTTTATAAACTTTGTTAGTCAATGAAAGTCAGACAACAGAGCCAAAAAGCAAGAAACCAACAGACTAAACACTTTTCATTTGTTCCAGAACCTCTCATATCCTTATATATCTTGGCTCTATATCATGCAGCCTGAACAGTGGTGGGATTCAAATATGTGAACAACCGGTTCTCTGTGTGGATGCCGCTTCTGGGCCTGGGCAACAAAAAATTAGCTACCGGTTCAGACCAAGCCCTTTGTGGTCTCACCCAAAGACAGTCTTCTCTGTAATACAGGTAGTCCTTGACTTAATGACCACAGTTGAGCCCAAAATTTATGTTGCACAAGTGAGAAATTTGTTAAGTGAATTTTGCCCCATGTTATGACTTTTCTTGCCACATTTGTTAGCGGATTATTGCAATTGTTAAATTAGTAAAATTAGTTAAGTTGGTAACACCATTGTTAAGCGAATCTGGCTTCCCCCATTGACTTGGCTTATCAGAAGGTCACAAAAGATGATCATGTGACCTCGGCGGAATTCACACAAAAGCTGGGGTAGCCTTGAAATGGAATGGGGCAGTAACTATGGTTTGGTGAATGATGGGAAGCCACTGTTTTATCATGTTAGTCACAAGTGAAGCCGTTATACAATGGTTTTCTTTGGGTATCAGATATTGTGAGAACACAACATCTGTTTTTTAGTCTGAGCATAGGCTGCTGTTGAACCCACCTAATGTGTATAAATCTTCAATACTAAAGTAAGGGGCACACTGTATCACATGTGGCATGTCATTTTTGTTATTGTTTTCCTGTCTGCAGGCAAGATACCTTTGTTCCTTTAATCCCCCCTGTTGTATTTTTGGTTCGTCGGCAATTGATGAAGACGCATGGTTAAAACAACAAGCTCTTTATTTCTCTCTCCTACAACCAAGCAAACAGTAAAAGGCACACAGGCCTTTTATAGTGCCAGAAGCCCAGACAGTGTGAACCAATAGGAATTGAGCATTTTCGCGCCTTGCGCATGCGCACAAGGCTGGCGCCACCCTGTCTGGTCTCGGGCAGCTTTTGGAATGCCCGGGACCATTTGCAACAATCTGAGCCTGCTTTCAGCTCTTGCAGGCTCAGGACACAACACCCCTCCCCCCTAGATGAAACACACCTAGCTTATGCACAGGTGCATTGTGCAATGCAGGGAGAGTGGAATACTGATGCATTATTCAAATGCAAAGAGGGTGGAAATGCTTGGGTCTGCATGCAGGCAAACCTCTTTCAAAAAGTCATTAACTCAAATAAATATATCCAAAATCAAAATAGTATATGAGACTCTTACTAAGTGTTAACCCCCTCATTCAGGGACCCCATAGCAAGGTTCCTCATGTGTTGACAGCAACCTCACATAATCTCCTAGATGTTTAGGTGGGCACTTGGCCCACTGCAACATTCTAAGGGCCGGTGAGATTGCCTGGCCTACCTGCTCGCCTACCAGGCTAGGCCGGCCAGGGTTTTGATGCCCTAAATGCCAAGGTGACACTGGTGAGGGTGCCTGGCCTACCTGCTCGCCTACCAGGCTAAGCAGGCCAGGACTTTGATGCCCCAAATACCCAGGTGCCGCCCCCAGCTGCTGACTGGCTGGACCCTCTGAGTCCAAGCCAGTGTACCTTGGAGGGATGGAAGTCCCCGAGTCCACAATGGACTCCTTTTGGGAACACTATCTCTCGAGCCCAAGGCCAGCAGGTGGAGAGGCCTGAGTGGTGGAAGTGCCCCAGTACTCTGTAGCCCCTGAGCACATGCCAGAGGTGCCAGAGTCAGGAGCCGCCTCCATGGCAAACCCCCTTGCTACTGACTTCCTTTTCGGAGCAATAGCTGAATTATGAGAATGCCCCTGATGGAATTCCCTTTCTATGGCTGTGTTTGATTTATGTGGATACCCCCGGTCTGTCTCCCTGTCTGGAGCACTATCTGACATGTTTGAATAATGTGGATACCCCCAGTGTGACTTCCTGTCTGGAGCAATAACGGATGTGCGGGATGACCCCCTATCGTGGGAATTCCTGCTTGGAGCACTTGCGGAATCTTGGGATGATCCCCAAACAGCCTTAGCAGCTAGTGAGGGCCTGTTAGGCCTGAGACCGTGTGACACAGAATGTATATTATGGTCCTCCTCCCCACCCCAGAGCAGAGCCAGGAGTGGAAATGTGGCTGTCCAATCTCCAACGCAGTTGGTCTATGTGTCTGCGAAGAACGCGGCCATCATCCAAGGCAACTTCGTATGACAATGGCCCAGAGACCTTGCAGACCACAGCTGTGACCCAGAGATGTCCAGGCCCATAGTTCCTAGCCCAAACTGGATCGCCCACCTGAAGTCTCCGAGGTGCCCGTGGTTGTGACA